AGATTAATACTAAATTTTCAGAAATAGATAAGACATTGAATGGGCAAAGGAGCAGAATTGAATCAATGGAAGACAGAATTAGGGAGATAGAAGTCAAATACCTGAACACTTTTTTGGAAAAGGATAAATCAGAAAAAAGATCAAAACAAAATGAAGAAAGCCTAAGATTCCATCAAAAGGAATAACCTATGTGTAATCAGAATTCCAGAACAGAAAGTGACAAATAAAACCACAGAGAAAATTGTCGAAGATTTGTTGGAAGAGAATTTTCCTGGTGTGATGAAAGATGAGAATATAGCAATTCAGGAAGTCCAACAAACCCCAGACAGGATAGACCCCAAAAGAAAATCACCCAGACATATCATCATCAAACTTACCAAAACCAAGGACAAAGAAAGAATCATGAGAGCAGCACGGGAAAAACAAAAAGTTACCTACAAGGGACAACCAATAAGACTAAGCTCGGATTTCTCGACAGAAATCATGCAGGCAAGAAGACAATGGAATAGTATTTATAAAACACTGAAAGAGAAATATTTCCAACCAAGAATTATGTACCCATTAAAACTGTCCCTCAAATATTTCTATCTAGGACATTTCCAGATAAGCAAAAATTAAAGGGAATTTTTTAAAACCAGACCAACCTTACAAGAAATGCTAAAGGGAGCCCTTTGGACAGAGAAGCAACAACAGCCAACAACAACTGACCATTAACACACATGATGATATAACCCAGAAACCAGCCCAGCTTTGAAAGTATCCAAAGTAAATAAGCCTACAAGATTGTAAACAGGGAACCAGAGACATCAATTGACAAATGAAGACAACTACAAACCAGAAAGAGGGAAAAAAAACTGTCATTACAGAACTTCTAGATGATAGGGAAGTCAAGACAACTACAAGATAGAACAGACTGTTCTAAACTTGGGAAGAAAACTATAAAGCATAGGGTAACCTCAAAGAGAAATGATAAACCTTCACATCAAAAAAGAGGACCAGCATAAATATTTAGCAAATACTGAAACAATAGCAATGAAGGAAGAGATAACACGATTCATAAACAAAACAAGCTCAGCATAGAAAATTGTATGGAACAAAGAAGTCGACACCACGAACAAACACCTAACAAAAATGACAGCAACAAATTCATATTTGCCAATAATTACATATCTGGCAAGGGACTTATCTCTAAGATTTATAGCGCAAGAGTGGATGACCAAACAATGGTACACACACATAATGGAATGCTATGCAGCACTGAAGAATAATGTAGAGTCTGCAAACCCCATATAATATGGATGAACTTGGAAGACATTATGCTGAGTGAAATAAGTCAATCACAGAAGGACAAATATAGTATTAGTTCATTGTTGTGGGGGGCCAAGGAAAGGTTTATATATGGTTTATATATGTTGGTTGCCAGGGGTGAGAGGGGAGGGGTGGGAACACTGTAAAAAAAAAAAGAAAGAAAAAAAAGCATTGACCCAGGTCACTTTAGTTTTGTGTATTTCACTGTATATAAATTATATTTCAATAAAATGCATTTAAAAAAAAGCTTTTGCTGAAAACAAAAAGTAAAAATTCCTGTGAATAAATTTCATTAATACATTTCCTGATGTTAAATATTCTTGCATCCTACTTCTCTTTTAAAACACGACAAATTAAAAATGTTTATTTTTGAGCATGTCATCAAGAAAGACCACTTGTTAAAAAAGGACATTGTGTTTTGTAAAGTAGCCAATCCAAACCAAACTCAACTGCCATCGAATCAGATCCAACTCATAGCGACCCCTCCTTGGGTTTCTGAGGTGGTATTACTGTGGAAGTAGATTGCCCAACCTTCCTTCCAAAGAGGGGCTGGTGGGTTTGAACCTCTTGCCATCTGGTTTGCAGTCAAATGCCTTAGGACAAAAAAATGAGGGAAACCCTCTATAATATGGATTGACACAGTAGCCACAACAATTGACTAAGCATACCAACCATCATGGCACAGAACCTGGCAACCTTTTTTTCTGTTACACATAAGGGTGCCATGAGTTAAAGTCATTAACATTTCTGGATGAGTCCAAACTCTTAGCTTTTTTCTTTTTTTGAGATAAGATTTTACATACTGGATACACAGTGATGTGCTGGTGGATACTTAACAGTTAGCTCTCTAGTGGCAAAAAGCCCTGATTTGTAGCATTTACTGATTTCTTTGGTATAAATGTTCCCCCTGTAGTTGTTTCAAGCTACCAATGAGATGTCGTCTGGCTTACAACATTCCTGAACATTTCAGTCCTCTCTCAGAAGCCAGTCCTAGCTGTCCCCCAGTGTACACTGGAAAGCTGAAGGGTGCAGCTGCATGGCATTTATGTATGTATGCACACGTAAAACTGTCACTGAGATCACCTGAAGACTGAGTTTATAATCAGAGCGGCTCCTTCTGGCTTACCTGAGTCAGCACTCTCAACAGCAATTTGGCCCTGTCTCTGTGGTTTGCTTGCTACTGACTTGAATACTTGGTGTTCTGGTTACCTAGTGCTGTTCTGACAAGAATATACCACAAATGGGATGGCTTTAACAAACAGGAGTTTATTCTCTTACAGTTTGGAGGGTTTAAGTCCCAGTTCAAAGTGCCAGGCTCTAGGGGCTGTGTGAAAGCCCTTCTACCTTGGGCTCTGCTTCTTGCTCCCGACCCGCTGAAGCTAAAGGCATCTCTTCACTCAGGCAGCTACTGGCTGCTGAGGGTAACAAGCCCAAGGTCAACAAATAAAATGGCACAGTCCCAATGTTACCAAACCACACGGGAGGCCATTAATTCAAGTCCGTTTTAAGTCCCAAGGTTGGCAGAGCATGGCAGGCTGCTGAACACCAACATGGCTACATGCAAGGTCCAAGCATGCTGTAAGCTGGAGACCATTCCCAATCCTTCTCCTTATATATAGGAAGCAGACTACATCCCAAAGGCAGTTACTCAGCTACTTGTGGTAGATCCCACCATGGAGTTGATTGCCAGTCTCATCATGGGGAATAACTACCACCAGCTGCCCAGACGCTCAACCAGGCCCAGCCAAGCTGACATACAAATTTAACTACCACACTTGGTTTGTGTATTTTCAGGTCACTCTTGTTTCTTATTGTGTGCATTTATAGCTCTTCATTTCCTCAGAGAACTGCTTTGGTCTCCTCATTTGTAGATAACAAAATGTAAGGCTTATAGTGATTTTCATTGAAGATTGAGCATCAGACCTATGATGAGTACTGTAGCGCTGACTTTATGAGGACTGTAACTTCTGTGATTTCTTTCCTTAAATGCAAGGAATTCCTGTCATATTACATTTGTTGTTGTTGTTGTTATGTGCTGTCGAGTTGGCCCCGACTCATAGCGACCCCTCCTTGGGTTTCCGAGGCAGTATCACTACGGAAGTAGGATTGCCCAACCTTCCTTCTGAGAAGTGGTTAGTGGATTTGAACCACCAGCCGTCTGGTTAGCAGG